GCAGGGATGGGCAGTATTTCAAATACATGCATTTGAAATACAAAATACTATTTTGTATTTAAATACATTTAAGCTTAGTATTTTTGTATTTTCAAAATACAAAAATACTTTTTGCCAATCAACCTCTTAATTAGACTGCTGATTTCCTGGATCAACAAGTATACAAAAATACTAGATACAAAAATAAAATAAAATTTCCTTCAGAAACAAATGTAATCCACTGCGTCTTCAGCGGTGACTTCACACTGACAGGCATCTGAGATCGGCTCGATTTGAGAAAGGGAAAAATAATTTAATGAGATTTAAAAAAAAAAAAAAACACTGGGTGAATCTTTATCATTATAGGGTGGTTGTGTACACACACTGCCAACACACATTTCAGTTCAAACTATGGCTGAATGATTTTGGAAAATCTAATTGTGATTTTTTTTTTTTTTTTTTACCAATATTGCGATTGCGATTTAATATGCAATTATTTTTTAAAGCTCTTTATGTTCTGTATTATTCAACCGAGACGAGCTATAAATCATTGTATAGTAAGACCAACACATTATTAGATAGATTAAACATAAATGTTCTTTTCTGTAGGCCAGGCCTATATGTTACGATGAAATTAGGTGATGCATGAATTGATATGAATGACATTTTTATTTAACAACTACAATCACAGTATATTGACTGATTTGCTGAACTTCCAATGTAAGCATGTAATAATTATGACAGCATAAAGCACTGACAAATAAGCCTGTTGTAAACATTAAAATGAAAGTCAGTAAAAAGTCACACAAAATAAAGTAGATTGCAGAAATATAAAAACAAATCTGTTGCTTTACCGCACTACTTTAGGTAATTCAAAGTCACTGTAATAAACATGTGGACTGCACTTTTTAAACACTGTCTGTTAACTTTAGACAGACTTTAAACAAATAAATAAGAATATATATATTACCTTAATATATATATTATTTTAAGGTCGAAGTCTTCAGTAATGAAATGCACCGTAACACTGTTACTGCTTGAGTAATTTCCATGTGCCGTTTTGAAGTACGTTCATATATACGCTTTCAAACATTTCCTCGTGTAGCGTGCCAGGGTTGCTAGGTTTTCACAACAAAACCCACCCAATTGCTACTCAAAACTAGCCCAATCACGTTTCGAGGGGGATCCACCGGTAAAAATCGCATTCCAGGGGGTAAAATACACGTTTTTTGGAGGGGTTCCCCAAACAGCGGACTTGGCAACACTGTAGTGTGCCAACTTGATGCTTCCTCTGAAGACTGCTTAGATGTGTTTGACTTGATGCAGCGCTGCTTAGAACGATCGGTGTGTGTCATCAAAGTACTGCGAGAGCTATAAGAGCATGGACGTCTCCTTATGACTTCTCTCGCCGTACTTTGATGTCATACACCGATCGATCTTCAAGTCGAACACACCTCTTTACTCTCATGTGTCACGTGACAGTATAATCGCAGCCTCTGCGGTTGAAAAATCGCGTTTTTTCATATCGCGATATTATTGCAAATGCAATTAATCGTTCAGCCCTAGTTCAAACAACTTGTAAAAGTGCATGTCGTATCCGATGACCCCTTTAAGTAATCGTTCAGCAACCAACTAGTTGGAGTAGGTTACTCAATGCCTATCCGTGATTCTTGAGTCAACTGATGGGACTGAATATGCTAAAAGTTAATAAATGTGTATTAACCTGTTCCCATAATAGGTAAAAGAAATGGCTTGTGCTGTAAGACGCCACCGTTTCACTGCTGCTGTTTACCATCATCTCTGTGCAAAAAGGATTCAGAGAGCTGTGCGAGCACACTGGGCTCTTAAATCCGCCAAGAGGAAGATCTCTTCGGTCCTATACATCCAGGTACAGTTAATCATCAAAATAAAATAATTTCTTAATTACAGAGAAGGAATTACATGTTTTTGAAGTTCACAGATTTTCAACCAGCTTTGTATTGTTAACAATGTTGGTTGTATATGTAAATAAAAAGGTGTACTTTTTATCTGTTAACCTGCATTGAGATACTTTGGGTGATAAATAAATGGGGATATTTTGGTGCAGATAACAGAGAAAGGGTTCAGGGCTTTTGTGAAAATCACAGATTTCAGTGTACATTTCTCTTTTTCTCTGCCCCACTTTTCTAGCAATGTTTTAGGGCAAAACTGCAAAGAAAGGGATACCTTAAAGACAGAGAAGACATCATCAAGTCCCAGAGGGCAGTGAGAACTTGGTTACATCATCGCAACAAAGCTGCTGCTACTATCCAGTATGCAGTTAGGAAGCTCCTTCTGAGACGCCGCAAGGAGAGGCTACAACGTGGAATAATAAAGGCCCAGGTATGGTGTCTTAAAGGGATAGTTCACCCAAAAATGAAAATTTACATTTACAGTTACATTTAGTCATTTTGCAGACGCTTTTATCCAAAGCGACTTACGATTGGGGAATACATAAAGGACAAATATCGTCTAGACAAGAGGTTAAAGTAGAGCATAAAGTGTCCGTTGCTGCATTCACATCCAGAGATGAGAAATGGGTTGGTGAGGGAAGCGAGGAGGATACTACAGAGGAAAGATGGGAGGGGGAAAGGGAGCGTAGGGTGTGTGTGGGGCTGAGAATTGACTACTGATTGTTCTGGTTTTGTCTGTGAAGAATGTGGCGAAGTCATTAGCTGTTATAGAAGTGGTAGGAGGTGGTGGAGGGGGACAGAGGAGAGAATTGAACGTTTTGAAGAGATTACGTGTGTCTGGAGCGCTGTTGATCTTGTTGTGGAAGTAGGAAGATTTGGCAGTATGGACTTCAGCAGAGAAAGATGAAAGCAACAACTGATACATACTCAGGTCAGCAGAGAGAAAATGGTGCAAATCAAAAGATCTGTCAGAGTTTGGTCCGATGCTCACGAAGAACATCGGATAACCAGGAGTTGGAAGGGGCAGCCCGTGCTGGCCTGGAGGAGAGAGGACAAATATCATCTAGACAAGAGGTTAAAGTAGAGCATAAAGTGTCAGTTGCTGCATTCACATCCAGAGATGAGAAATGGGTAGGTGAGGGAAGAGAGGAGGATACAACGGAGGAAAGATGGGAGGGTGAAAGGGAGCGCAGGTTTCGTCTAAAAGTAACCGGTATAGGGGTTGGTGGCACACAGGTAGCAAAATGTAGTTTAAATGTAATGAAGAAATGGTCAGAGATATGAAGGGGTTTTTCCAAAATGTTGTCTGCAATACAGTTGCGTGTGTAAATTAAGTCAAGTTGGTTGCCTGATTTGTGCGTGCTTGTAGTGGTAAGTCGTTTGAGATCTGCTTATCCCCAGGGCATCCAAGATGTAGGTGACTTTGTTTCTTCAGTACAACACAAACGAAGATTTTTAACTCTAACCCTTGCAGTCTTTTCAGTCATATAATGGAAGTGAATGGGAATATAAATACTGTTCAGTTTCTTGCACAGAATGATCGTTTCGTGTCTTTACACATCAATGTATCGTCACGAGCCACAGGGTTTAATTTATTCCCATTCACTTCCATTATATGACTGACAGACTGCAACGGTTTGAGTTAAAAATCTTCGTTTGTGTTCTACTGAAGAAACAAATTCACCTGCATCTTGGATGCCCTGGGGGTAAGCAGATAAACATCACATTTTCATTTTTGGGTGAACTATCCCTTTAAATGGACTTGTTTAAAAAAAAAAAAAAAACTGACTTAAATACTTATACATTTACGTATACATGTATTTTACTCACTATTTACGGTTTTTTCAAAAACAGTATTACTTGGTTTCTTTAGACCACAGAAGTGTTAATGTAGGTTTTGGACATGTTTTCTATTTTGGGTGAACAACTATTAATTAGAATTTTTATAATGTGATTAATTGTTTTAAGGCACTCTGGAGGGGTCATCGTTCAAGAAAACATCATGACACAAGCAAAGTCATTTCCATGAGGCGCCGTCTCAGGGAAGTAAATCGGGGGGTGAAGGAAGAGGACAAGCTGTGTAACAAGACTACAACAGCACTAAGCTACCTGCTTGGACTTCAAAATTATGCGTACATTCTTGCAGCCTTGAAACATTTGGGTAAGACCTTGTTTTTAAAGTTTGGAGGCTGGCTGATTCATAAAATGACAGCTAACGTTATCTTTTTGTCATGGTTAAAGAAACTGCCACAAGACTTTCTCCTGAGTGCTGTGAACGTCTTGTTGAAAGCGGAGCAACACACACCATCTTCACTCTGATAAGGAGCTGCAACAGAAGTGTGCCTTCAATGGAGATCATCATATTATCCATCCAAGTTCTTCTCAACTTATCAAAGGTATGTTGCCTCAATTAAGGAATTAGGTTTGTTAGTTACAAATTTGTATGAAATCATTTAATATGCTGATTCATTTATTGCATTTAACATTGTTGATTTTTGCCTTTTTCAATATATTTTTCAGTACAACAGAACCATTGATGCAGTTTATGATGTAGACAACTCTGTAGAAACCCTCCTGGATCTTCTGCAGATCTACCGGGAGAAGGCTGGAGATAAGGTTGCAGAAAAAGGTGGCAGCATCTTTACCAAGGCTTGTTTTCTCTTGGTCCTCTTAGTCCAGGATGATGGTTTTGTTTACGCGGCGCGATGCAATGCAACGTGTAAAAAGACTAAACACTATAATTAACTCTGGATTCAAGAATTTGCTTTTCATTAGGGCAACTACAAAGAACAATTTAATAGTTCTAATAAACTTTAATTGCAGAAAAATATGAATTCAATAATTAAGAGCCTGCAATATAATGGAATATTAATATTGTTTAATGCATTTTAAGCATTCAAAAATATCATTTGTTTTCGCCCCTTATTTATTAATAAATAATTTATTCCAATTGCCCTAACCCCAGCAAAACATTTATGGGGACTGTGGGCCAGATGGGCTGAATTTTAGCACCAGATGATTCTCTTCTAGGGCCAGAAAGAAGACCTAATAATAAAACTATTTAAACTAAACTCCTTAAGGGAGCTGTATATGCTCAAAAGTTGTTGCTGCTTCTGGAAACCTGTTTGTTTTGACTTCATATATCTGGTGTTAATGTATACATTTTTTTAATGTGTTGTAGCCTGGAATATTTAGTGTGCATACATATTGTATCTCTGTGTTTTGGAGATTTGATAAAAAAAACAAAAACAAATTATTCCTGTTGTACAAAACGTTGTGTCACCAAGATAGACTACTATGAAGGGGGTCCTTGGGTGTGCTATAGCCCCAGGGCCCTATGTGTTCTTAATCCGGGCCTGACCATAGACATTGGCCTACCTCACTTATATGGTATTAATTTAATTTGTGCAGGTCTTTAAAAAGGTCTTAAATTTGAGCCTAAAAATCCTGCAGATACCCTGAACTGAGCTAACGAGTGATCCTCTGCTGCCATCTACTGGTTATAATGGTCATTTCATGTCATCTTCATCTTAAAAGTCACATTTTTTCATGACATCTTCATAAATTAAACATGAATCTTTAAAGTGAATTACATAAAGTGATTACATGCACTGACTTGCCGTATATAGGTAAAAATGTAGGGTTAAAAGGGTTAATATCATTTTCATACATGCACATCTAAAGAATTATAAATTTAGTATTTCTTTAGTTGTTTGTTTGCTTTTTCTTGCAAGAAGTCCAAAACAGACAAACTGAATAGGGAAAATTTTTTTATTTTGATCTGCTCCATTTGTTTTTATCTAGTAGTATAACTGATGCTTCGTCAGTGTTTTATTTCCACTGTCACGCACAAACAGGTAAAGTTATCACCCCATCATTACACTTTTGTCTTAGGGCAAAACCTACTGAAACTTTGCCCCTCTGACACTTAAAGGTGATGTGATCATCATGTGGTGCGAACATCTTTTGTTGATCAGCGAAGGCCAACTCAATTCCTCTTTCATCCATTTCCCCCACTGTCACTGAACAGGGCACTGAAATAAACCCAACATGTCACTATCAGTGTCACAGTATACATTTATTAACTAATCATCACAACATACAACTTAAACTACAAGATTGCATCATAAAGTATATGCATGATATATATGGTGTAGCGTGTTTATACTTAAACACTTAATATTCCCTCTCCATTCGCCTTGTTGACAGGTCAAGTATTTGGAGAAAGCGGGGTGTGAATCCAATGTGTATTTATTAAAACACATGTATTCAACTCTCTCTCCTGTATTGCATTCCTTTTTTGTCATTTCTACTGTATCTGCATTGTTCACGTGTGGTGGTGGTCCACATTTCTTTGAGACTGTCATCACCAAAAAAAAAAGAAAAGAAAAAAAAATCTGACATTAGTAAATCTCTAATATGACAATGAGGTAATTGTAATGTTTGTTTTTTTTTTTGCTCCCAATTTCATTCATTTGCACATATTGTGAGATTTAAAAATAGAACATACCAGCGCACAGTGGATTTGGTGTCCGTCTCGTGTACATGTGGCTTCTTCTGCCATTTTCTCATACCCAGACTCGCAATAATAATATTGTTTTGCTCCCAGTTTCATATCTCGTCTGAAAAAATGGTCTAGGTGAGACACATGCTGGTCATGTGGAACTTCACATCTAATCTCTGAAACAATATTCACATGCTTTTAATAACATGTAGTGAGTCCATCACCAAATCCAGAAGTGTTTCTCTATAATCTTACCTTCACAAACAGGCTTATGATCCCACTCCCCATTATCTTGGCATGTAAATGTTTTGCTGGTTTCTTTAATAAACCAAAAGCGTTTTTTAGAGCAGGTGATTTCCACACTTTCTCCAGCTCTGAAAATAGTCTTTCCCTCTGGGTTGATCTTTATCTTGGCATGTAAATGTTTTGCTGGTTTCTTTAATAAACCAAAGGCGTTTTTTAGAGCAGGTGATTTCCACACTTTCTCCAGCTCTGAAAATAGTCTTTCCCTCTGGGTTGATCTTTTTTACTCCAAATGTGGTTGACTGAAGCTCACAGGTTATTTCTGTACAAGACATAGTTATGATGTATTTAAGTGTTAAAAAAGTTTTTATTTTTTATTCATTACACACTTATTTCCTTTTGTATGAAGGTTTTTGTATTTAAGTCATGTGGTGCGAACATCTTTTGTTGATCAGCGAAGGCCAACTCAATTCCTCTTTCATCCATTTCCCCCACTGTCACTGAACAGGGCACTGAAATAAACCCAACATGTCACTATCAGTGTCACAGTATACATTTATTAACTAATCATCACAACATACAACTTAAACTACAAGATTGCATCATAAAGTATATGCATGATATATATGGTGTAGCGTGTTTATACTTAAACACTTAATATTCCCTCTCCATTCGCCTTGTTGACAGGTCAAGTATTTGGAGAAAGCGGGGTGTGAATCCAATGTGTATTTATTAAAACACATGTATTCAACTCTCTCTCCTGTATTGCATTCCTTTTTTGTCATTTCTACTGTATCTGCATTGTTCACGTGTGGTGGTGGTCCACATTTCTTTGAGACTGTCATCACCAAAAAAAAAAGAAAAGAAAAAAAAATCTGACATTAGTAAATCTCTAATATGACAATGAGGTAATTGTAATGTTTGTTTGTTTTTTTGCTCCCAATTTCATTCATTTGCACATATTGTGAGATTTAAAAATAGAACATACCAGCGCACAGTGGATTTGGTGTCCGTCTCGTGTACATGTGGCTTCTTCTGCCATTTTCTCATACCCAGACTCGCAATAATAATATTGTTTTGCTCCCAGTTTCATATCTCGTCTGAAAAAATGGTCTAGGTGAGACACATGCTGGTCATGTGGAACTTCACATCTAATCTCTGAAACAAGATTCACATGCTTTTAATAACATGTAGTGAGTCCATCACCAAATCCAGAAGGGTTTCTCTATAATCTTACCTTCACAAACAGGCTTATGATCCCACTCCCCATTATCTTGGCATGTAAATGTTTTGCTGGTTTCTTTAATAAACCAAAAGCGTTTTTTAGAGCAGGTGATTTCCACACTTTCTCCAGCTCTTAAAATAGTCTTTCCCTCTGGGTTGATCTTTTTTACTCCAAATGTGGTTGACTGAAGCTCACAGGTTATTTCTGTACAAGACATAGTTATGATGTATTTAAGTGTTAAAGTTTTTAAAAAAAAATTCATTACACACTTATTTCCTTTTGTATGAAGGTTTTTGTATTTAAGATCTTTCATGCCAGAACAGTGTGTAGATAAGAGGTTTTTATTTTGTGAACCAACAAAAAGGACTATCTGTTATTTTAACAAATCACATTAGCTTTTGCTTTTTTAGCTTTTTTTTATTATTTTTTTTTATTTGAATAGCATTAGACCTGTTTGTTACCTTTTGATTTCTTTAATTAATAATACTGAGGACATAATGTCACCCTTTAAAAACAAGTAAATCTCAGGGATTAAAAAAAAAAATCTATTACTAGTTAAATTAAATCTTGTGTCTTATGGGAGAGAGTGTATAGCACAGTGGCACTAAAATACTAAATTAATTTAAATTCTAAAAGGACTATCTGTTATTTTAACAAATCACATTAGCTTTTGCTTTTTTAGCTTTTTTTTATTATTTTTTTTTATTTGAATAGCATTAGACCTGTTTGTTACCTTTTGATTTCTTTAATTAATAATACTGAGGACATAACGTCACCCTTTAAGAACAAGTAAATCTCAGGGATTAAAAAAAAAAATCTATTACCAATTAAATTAAATCTTGTGTCTTATGGGAGGGAGTGTATAGCACAGTGGCACTAAAATACTAAATTAATTTTAATTCTAAAGAACATCTGATTGGACCAAAAAATGTATAGCACAGGTAATCAATATCATCAGTATTTTTGTATTGTATTGATTCTTTCTTTTTTTCTGCATTCTCATGGTTCATGTTTGGTGGTGGCCCAGGTTTTATTTTTAGACTGTTATCACCAAGCAACTGTCGCATTAATAAATCTTAGTAGTAGCCAGATTTCGTTTTATGCTGCTAAACCATATAGTATGTTAGAACTATTAATGACTATGACATAGTCATTGTTAATGTGTTTAAAGAAAATTATAATTCTGTTGAAGTGTTTTTAGTTGCTGGTTCACTCTGATTTCTCTGATTTTCTGAAGAAAATCTGACTGGTGTTTATTTCATGCAAAACCTGCTGCCACATTACTAGTTCATAACTTTGCGGTTGCCGTGTTGTTCTTGATGTTGCTTCCTGGCCCAAATCAAGAGAGACTTAAGACCTGATGAGTTATGTGCCAATTTGTGCATAGATTTTAATGAGCAAAAGTGATGCTTGAGATAATAATACACTGACAACTAATTCAATGCTTTTACCTTCTCTGCAATTACCTAAACATTCAGGGAATGGGCTGCTCCATTCTCCATTTGACTGGCAGGTGATTTCTCTCTGTCCTTTTAAAACCAGTCCTTGTCCATTGCATGAAAATGTTAAACTATATCCAGGTTTGACTGGACCCTCAAGATCAGGGAATCGCTCCATTTTGATGTTGTTCTCTGTTGTGTTTAGTGGACATGTTACTTCTAGAGAGAGACGAAATACTGGTCATTGCAGTGTCCTCCATCTGGACTTATTTATCCATTCATAAGTAGTTGTCATTTGTCTCAATAAACTAGGTGAAACATTAAATCTACAATTTTTATAGGGGAAAATCATATAAGTTCACGAAATTAACTTTGTATCAGCAAGTCATATTTTTGCTGTATAGTGGAGACTGGGGCTAGTCAGCTGTCAACTCACTAAGAGATGAAGAAAGACAGCATACAAAATCTATGTTTGATGCATGAATGATTGATGTTTTAATGAATAACGCATTGATGTTAACGTTGTCATTACCTTTTTTTGATTTTATTTCTTTCACTTTTTTGTATCAAGAATGTAATTTATATATTTTTATACATTATACAAACATTTCAACATTTTTTAAAAACAATTCTTAAATATTTAAAGCAAATATATTTGCTTTATATTACAGTATTGCTTCATACCTCCACATATCGGATATGGGTGATCCCATTTTCCATTTGACAGGCATTCAATTGTTCGTTGTCCATGCATCTTCAGGTTCACATCAGTGCATCGAAAAACTAAAATATGTCCAGGTTTATAAGGTGAAACGATACCTGGATGTCCAAATAAAATGTCAACGTTGATGAGTTGTTCCCCCTCACAGGTAACTTCTGTAGATCAAGAAATACAATTCAATCATTATTAAAAGATAGCTGTTTTAGTTTTACTGAAATAAAGCAGAGCAGGGCAGTTTAATGACAGCTAACTTTACTTCAAATTTAGACCCACATTTTGGTTTTATGGTCAATGAAATTTCATGGAAAATGAACAAAAAACTATATATAAATTCAGACCAGCATTATAAATAAAGGTGATATACAAACATGATATTATTATATATTGTGCAACATATTGGATGTTTATTCTTTGGCTACATTGTGTATCATTGTGTTACCTTGAGCATTTGTTGAGACATCTATGATCGTTAATAGAAGAAAGAGAAATATGTCACAATATTTCATTTTAAGCTGTAAAACATGACAAATGGCTTAGTACAGTTTGCAAAGCTAATAAACTGTATAAACAATATTGACTGAATCATCTACCAAATATTTAATCTTTAAAGGCTGATTCACTTTCCTTATTTAACAAATCAATGCAAAGATTTCTTCAGTGTTAAACATGAATGAGTACTGATGAAAAACTCTGATTACCTGTTTTCCAAAAGAATTATTCATGAACTCTTAAGAGCGGTGGTGTTATGAATCCCTGAAGTCTGTGAAATGTAGATAAAAAGCAACCGTCCCCTTCCCTCCACCCCACCAAACGGGACTCAGCTCAACGCCCCCAAAAATGTGATGCAATCTAGGAAAACCCACCAAGCTAATAAACTGTATAAACAATATTGACTGAATCATCTACCAAATATTTAATCTTTAAAGGCTGATTCACTTTCCTTATTTAACAAATCAATGCAAAGATTTCTTCAGTGTTAAACATGAATGAGTACTGATGAAAAACTCTGATTACCTGTTTTCCAAAAGAATTATTCATGAACTCTTAAGAGCGGTGGTGTTATGAATCCCTGAAGTCTGTGAAATGTAGATAAAAAGCAACCGTCCCCTTCCCTCCACCCCACCAAACGGGACTCAGCTCAACGACCCCCAAAAATGTGATGCAATCTAGGAAAACCCACGACATGGTGAAATATTATCTATTATAGTTGAAGTTGGCTGAACACCATGATTTTCAGGAACAGAATTTAGAGAAAAAAAAACTGGTTTAAAGAGAGGCAATGAAAATAAAAGCACAACAGTCAAGTACCACAAGTACCACCTCAGCTCAACGCCCCCAAAATTGTGATGAAATCTAGGAAAACCCACCACATGGTGAAATATTATCTATTATAGTTGAAGTTGGCTGAACACTATGATTTTCAGGAACAGAATTTAGAGAAAAAAACTGGTTTAAAGAGAGGCAATGAAAATAAAAGCACAACAGTCAAGTACCAGAAGTAAAAGTCACTTTACTGTGGTAAAATACCTATTTTAGTCACTGTACACGTGCGAAGCAGTTCAAAGAATCAAACCCCTCCTTTCCGTGAGCCCTCACTGCTGTGATTGGTCAGATGGCACAGTCCTTTGTGATTGGTCCAG